AGATTGGCTCAGGCTAGGTTGGCTCAGGGGCTGGCAGAAACTCCCTGATGCCTAACAAATCTGTTTCCTCTTCTTCCTATGAATTCAGCTAGACTATATTGCCCAGTTTACCTTGCAGTTAGGTGTGGTCATTGGAGTTCTAACCGTTAGAATAGAGAGGAAGTCATGCACCAACACCAGACTGGGCTTATGAGTATCTCCCATGTACAAGTTTTTATTCTTTCTCCTCATCTGCTAGCTGAATGGAGAGGTACTGAGCTAAGGGCTGAAGATATTGAAGCCATTAAATGGAAGATGATTGTTTTCCTAAATCATTGCTTGGAGAAGAGCCGCTCAATGAGAAACTCCATATTGGGTTGTGAAATGAGTGAGAAATGAACATTATTATGTTAAGATTTGGAAGTTTATCTGTTACCTCATCTAGACACAGCCTAAGAGGGGCTCTACCTGCCCACGTGTAGAAGGATGCATGGTGTGGGCAAGATGAAGAGAACTCCAAGAATCTTCTTCATGGAGTTCAAAAGCTTCCCTGAGAACGAGAGCTACCAGAGGTTGACTTGGCAATCCTTTGGCAGCCCCCTTTGTCCACTTTGGCTTCACTAGATGAAAATACTAAAAATGACTCAAAACCCCTTTGGTTTTCTGTGCCTCTGCAGGGCCTGCAGTAAAGTGTAATAAAAGCAGAAACTGTTAGTAGGAAGCATCTGAAGTGGGAAATGCCGTTAGGCTGGCCCATAAAAGATGAGTGCTATGAGCAGTAAAATGAGCTAAGAAGGAAAACATGATGAATGTTTTCTCGGCTTTAAGCAGCAAGATCCCATTTCACCATCCCACGTGGCACTGTGTGCCTGACTGGAAAAAGCAAGGGCCTCTGTGCAGAGCCTGACTCAGGGAGTGTGGCAGCTGAGCTTATCCCTGGGGCCCCAGCTGGGGGAGTGGAGTGGGGTGGAGGTTTTGGGGGGTTTGGGGGGATGCAGCTTGATTTCTTCGTCACCTCCCAGGCCCTACTGATGCTTTCCAGGTTGAAGGTTCCCATTGAGACACTGGAGGAAATCCTGAATTGCCCAAGTTCCAGAGCAAGGACATCTCACACAGGGAAAGGGAACCCAGAGGTCATGGTGCCAGGAACAGCAGGGAGAACTTCATGAGATTTGACTTAAGAAAATGAATATCCTCTGTTTCAATCCCACTACCATAGCTCATTATACCACACAGAGAACATGCGTCTTTACTGTGCTGGCCCCACCCTCGCACCAGGACACCATCCTCCTCCTCAGTTTAGGCAGTTTCCATGAATCCTTCGAAGTACGATTCAAGTTCAACTTTCTCCATGAGCCTACCACTTTTTATTATAGTCCCTATAAATCTCATTTTTGGAAAAATATAGTAGTGGAAAGGTCTGGGTTGGAGCCCTGCCTTTGTTACTTGCAAGCTATATGATTTTGTGCACATTGCTAACCTCTGTAAGTTTCAGTTTCCCTATGTATAAAATAGGGATTGAAATATAAATCCTATAGGGTGGCTGCAAGGATTACAGGATATTACCTTGCATAATGTGTAAGAGGTAATAAACACTCAATAAAAAATTAGTTTTCTTCTGAAATTTTGCAGCATATATGGTCTTTACCACCAATTTAATACTTTTATTGTTTTGTATGCATGTAGCTTGACTCCTCAACCAGGGTAAAATCTCCTTCTAGAACAGAATGTCTCAGATCATTATAGACTACCAAGTCATATTTAATATTTTTGCTTATTAATTACTGTTCATCATTAATCTGATTGATATGAATTGGTTGGTTGATCACTAGTTTTAACCTTGCACAACGTTAGATAGAAAGGTGTCTCTCATCCTCTAAGAACGTCATAAAATATTATTTTACTCGGGCTGTGTAGAAGATAGATTCACATTTTGAAGAGTCTCTAAATTACTCCAGTCCCAAGAAGACTTCAAAAAATTAGTATCAATACTACAAAGCTATTGTAAAGAAAAATGCCTGGCCTCCGCTGATACAAGACCAGCTGAGCACATCTTCCAGTGAGGCATGGCTGCCCTCAGCACAAGTTACAGTAAGCCAATTCTAAGAAAATGGCTATATTTATACTAGCTCAAACATCACCCTCTGAGAGCAGCCCTCTTAGAAACTCCTATCTAAATAAGCCTTCATTTTCATTGCCCAGTCATTCTCCATCATTTTATTATTTTTAATTTCCTCAAAGTCATCATTGCAATCTGAAATTATTCATTTACTTGCTAGTGTATTCAATATCAGTCTCCCACCAGACCATGAGTTCCTTAAAGGCAAGAACATATCTGGTTGTTCATTGCTACATTCTCAGTGCCTAGAGCAGCGCTTAACAAAGAGCATTATATATTTATTGAACTGAACCTGATGAACTTTGACATAGTTGTGGGGAACAAATCTCCAGTTGATGATCATAAGCGAAAAAGCTTTTGTGAAATGCATCTTTGCGGCTGGGTTTCCTTGGGAAGACAACTCTCCTTTAGCTTACTGAATGCAAATTGGTACAACAGAGCTTCTCTGAAATCCTCAAAGTACTAAGCAATGAATTAAACACTTGGCATCAACCAAACAGCTCTGCTCTTGGATCTCAGCTCTCAAAACTCTCACTAATGAAAAAATATTCCATAGAAAAAGATACTAATCTATTGGCTATAAGAAAGTTCTGGATATCTCTATCTTTATTAAATTGCTCCTTGAATTGTAATGCTATTATTTTTCCTCCAATGTTTATTCATTGTACTGTCTTTTAAAATCTTATTTTGTTCTCAGCTCACCATTTCTTATTTCTATAAAAATTCTGAGCATCCTTAAAAGTTCAATAGAAGTTCTGCCTCACCAATGAAAACCATTAACCTCTCCTTCTTACCCTAAACGTCATCTTTGAATTTCCAGAGCCTTTTATATCATTAACCTCATTGTGAATGGCTGCCCAGAAAGCAAGCCCTTTCAAGAAAGAAACCATGGTGTGTTTTTTACTCTTCATTCTCTTCATTCTGTATAATGGATGCTTGCTAGCTACTATTTAAATTTATACTAATCTACCATAGAATACTATATGAAAAACAATAAACCTTTGTTAACTTAGGTAGCTTTAACTTGGAGTAAATAATATTATTTAGCCATGCAACCATTTTTTACCATCCTTAAAAAAAAGGCTTTGGTCAACAAATTAAACAGTAAGTATGTATTGAGATTCTATAATAGATCAGGAACTGTCCTAGCTATTGAGGATGCAAAGATGAACAAGATAGCCTTTCCCCTAGAAAAATGAGCAATTGTAGAGCACGTTAGCCTATAGAAGAATAATCCTTCTAGTAAACACCCCTTTGTGTAATCACTATGCCAATTCCAATAAATGCTCACTATTTCATGAAAGAGAATTGCATAGAGCATATTCTTCACAATTCTTTATCCAGTTTGTTTTTTAAAAAACATTTTTATTACTTCTTCAGGTACACATAGAAACATATGCCATAATTCAATGTAACTAACTTGGATTGTTCTAATTAACCCAAATTACAAAAATGTTCTGTATTTAATATTCTAAATGATTACTGAAATTATGATTCTTACTATTGGATGAAAATATGGAGATTTCTATGTCAAGTTTTCTGATTGGCATACTATGATTATCTACCACCCCAAACCTCAAAGGGTGTTAGATCAGTGAACAATGTTTGGTATGCTGCTAAATTAAAAAATAATAATAATAACCATAAGCTTCACATGTAGTTGTTTTTGTTATACCATTATGAAACCAAGGGGTGATGCAAGGTTTCCAAATAGGAGTGGTTTTCTAAGTTTTGAGGCATGTCATGCCCAGAGAGCCTACAATCTGTACACGTACTCAGTCAGTCATTGTCCAGCTATTTTGGCAATGATCTGATGGCTAATGGAATTAACTAGCATGCCACCCTCTGCAGTTATTTATAAAACCAGAGCAATGTATAAGGTTTTTGCTCTCCCAAACCAACCTCCATTTCCAGTGAATGGCTGTGGTGGTTGGCAACCTGAGCCCACCAAATCAAACCCTGGTGAAATGGGTCAGTGAGCAACCAGTGTAACAGTCCACCAGGAAACAGTCTGGAGTAAGGGCAAGAGGAGGAGGTTTCAAGTCCTGGCTCTGCTACTTCCCAGCCACTTAAGAATGGGCAGGTCACAGAGTTTATCTTTTACTTCTCCATTTGCAAAACAATACTTCCTGGCCTGTCCACCTTTCATGGTTATTGTGAGGCTCCAATGAAATAATATACAGAAGTTCTTGTAAATGGCATAGTCCTAGCCTCTTTATTAGTCTAACTTGTCAGTTGGTGCATGACAACTCCAAACCACTCTCCTCATGCTGCAGTGATGCATTCAAGGAGGATAGTGTATGCTTATTGTTCAATACACCAAACAAAAGCCAGCCTCAGAGGCACTCTCACCTCAGTGCCTTAAGATATGTCTTATTTCCTGACTGTCCAAGTGCCTCGTGGTACTGCTGAATGACAGTGCTAACTGACCATAGGGTCAGATTGCCAGCTCCACCACTTGGTCAAATATTTAACATTCTATAAGCTCGTTTCTGGATCTATAAAATGATGATTCAAATATTACCTATCTCACAGAATTGTGGGAGGATAAGATAATCATGTAAAATACATGGTATAGTATCAGGTGACACACAGTAGTGATGACAATTACTATTAGCCTCACACAGGTTTCTGCAGCTAACACGAAGGCAAAAATCCCATTAGAGTCAAAAGATCTGGTTTCATGTCCTCATTCCCTCTGTGACAGGCTGGATAATGCTGCCAAATTCATTCAATCTCTCTGGAATGCAGTTACTACATATAAAAGGATGCTAATATTCACTTCATGGGGTCTATATAAAGATCACATAGAGTAACATATATAAAACTTCTATACTCACTGTAATGCACGATGAAGATGCACAAGGCTGTTATTTGATTTTTCTGTATGAACAAACATGCAGAAAACAATTGCAAAGATTTTATTTAGCGGCTTTCTGTGCTTGGCACTTAGAAACAGAGTTCCGTGCATAAGGGCAAATTTTTATACACCTTTTCTTCATACATATTTTACATACCCTTTTATTGCCCCCTTTTTCATATTCATAATATTGGATTCCCCACTAGGCACATAAATACATTTATCTACAACACCTCAAAACCAGAAATCTTAATAATATCTGTATTATTTTACTTGGTATTATTTGCATTTCCACACCATTTAAAAATTTTAGCTTGCACCAAGCTTCACTTGCTTTCTTACCATTAAAAGATTTGAAGGGAAAGGGAAAGATGAAGGAAAAAACCCAAAACTTCAAAATGCAATGAACTATTTGATAAAAATGGAGATCTAAGGGCAGGTAGAAGGTATAGAAGACCCATCTGCAATTGCCTGGGACATGAGGGGATTTTTCCTGCCACAGGGGTAGCGGGCAGGCATTCTAGGTTAGGTGTCTGGATCCGGCACTTGGAGGTCAGGCCTCTATTTGTTGCCTCTGCTCTTGGTATCATCTTCCGAGATTGTAAAACTATTCCTTCTTCACTCCCTTCTATTTCCCTTCCCCTACCAGGCTGCATGCTGTGGAATCAGCACTTCCCACGTAGTGCACCTCTCTTCTGAATCACAGTGGTCAGAGCTGTAGGCTCAGGATGCATTCCTTGCTCTGTCCCTCTGACCAATGCCCTGACCATGCTCAATGTGCCAGAGATGTTTACTCCTCAGTAATGCCATGATTCTTTCTATAGCCTGTAGTGGGGCAGGCGGCATTTGGGGGGACAAACCAAAAACACATCTCCTTGGTGAATTAAAACTCTCATCATTGCTCACACTTTCTTTGTCACTCTTGCTCTCCACCTCTCTCCTGTTCTCTGTTCTTCCTGTTTGTCTTTCTCCTGTTCAGCTGTTCTTTCTCCCTCTTTCCACAGGCACCACTGGGAATATCAATGATAGCACACAAGTGAAGAGAGCCAAAGTTCAAAAGCAATCTTTTTCCGGAAGCCAAGTCCAGTTGTACTGACGTCTTTCCACTCTCATCCATGGGGAGGGTCTCCAGAATACATGGTTCATTCCAGAAGCAGAGGAAGCTGCAGGGGAGAGAGACTGGCAGCTACTGCTGGCCCACTCCATCTAGAGTTGTACATAGACAAATTCTTGGTGAAAGCACCCATTCTGGGCCTCCCTCCACAGAGTTCACCCAGTTCAGAGTCCGTGTGCATGTATGATTGCATGTGTATGAACTGTGTATGAATATATATGTGTGTGCGCATGTATGTATTGGTAGGTCTGTCTGTATGTGGGTGTGTATGTGTAACTTTTCATGGCTGCCACACACTAGCATCTCCCTTAACATCATGACGAAGTGATTATTCAGTCTCTTCAAAGGACACTCTGGAACAGACAATGCTTTATAAAACTAAGGTCTGGGAAGGCAGGAGAATGGCCACTGAGTTGTGGATGATTCTACCACAAGTATCCCTCACTGGCTTAAAGGTGTCTCTAGTTCTTGGGGATATGTCATCCTCCAGAAAAAAAAAAAAAAAAACACAGTTCCTGTTTTCTGAAGGCACTGGACTCCCAAAGAGGAGGATCTGACCACGGAAACTCTGGGGCCTTGATTGCCAAATGCTCCGTGGTGTTTGGACTGGCCTTTAAACCATGTGCACGGACATCTGGGAGGAGGAGCCTGGAACTGCCCCATATTGCCGGCCATCACAAGTGTTGGTTGCCTGTTGGTTATTGGGTGAAGGGCTAATCATGTGCATGCTGTGCTCCATCCCTGACGGCAGGTACTGCCTCTCTCCAAAGGCCCCGTTGGAAGGAGAAGAACAGAGTAAAGTGCTTTGAGAGGCGCTCAGTTTTTCTGGGCTTGCAGCTAGTCTAGGGGAAGTGGGGAAATTGTATCCATACAGGTTGTAAGGGTTGTGAAGGGAGAAGGCATTGTAGGAGCTCTGCTGCATGTGGCTGCCCCCGAACATATGTGGTGATGAGGAGCTGGAGGCAGCATTGCCTGCCTGCATGACATACTGAAACTGGGAAGTGGGGAAGGACCCCAGCTGGCCACCATAGGCTTCCATCTTGCTGTTGCCAGGCAATGAAGGAGGAGTTGGTATTCCGGATATCAGGGATGGAGTCCTCTGAGGCATGAAGGTTTCAGAGGGCTGAGTGGCTGAAGTGGTGCCACTCTGAAGCCTGTTGTAGCCACTGTCACTCAGCCCTGGGTAGCTCTGCAAGGCAGCCATGTTGCTTCGGGCACATGGTGGATAATCAGAGAGGTTTAGATTACACAGCTGGCTCTCTCGGCAGCCCACATTGAAAGTGTTGGGGGCCAGATGAAAAGTTGGAGGAGAACAGGATGGAGATAAAAGATGAGAAGAAGCCGAAGGGGATGGTGTCCCAGTGCTGGAGGTGGTTGGGGAAGTGCCTGTGCTGCCTCCTGAAAAATAAAATGTGAATACTATTGAGACAGAGTCTTTTAAGATGAGTCTGCCTAAGTCATATGCAAGCCATACTGGAGGTGCCTTGAAATGTCCAAGATAAGCCTGATTTTTACAGAACCATTTTTCCTCTTAACTCAGCAGACCTATGCTAAGTGATTCCACCTGTGGACACATACACAGTCATACAGTCATACACACACACACACTCACACACACACACATACACATTCCAGAGGACTGTGATCAAAAACAACACTAAATTCTTTTGTTTGTTTCTCTCTGTAAGATCCTTAGTAAGTCCTTTGTATAAAAATAACAATAAACCTTCCAAGATTCACGTTGCCATTTCTCACCATCAAATTCACTTTCTAAGAGACCTCTGATGTCAGCATTAAAATCCACTAGCTCAGCTCTTCCCATTCTTAATGGAAATGCATTAAATATGTATTTTATTCCAGGGCTGTTGCCTGCTTTGCCATTTTTATTCTTCTAGCCAAACATGCAGGACACCAAAGCAGGACCCTAATCTCAGAGGAAATGGGGTAATGGAAGAGAGTGCCAAGTCAAAATTGAGGCCTGGGGGTGCACAGCAGTGGAGCCTGGGGTATGAGATTGAAGTTGCATCACATGAAAGACATTTGGGAACACAATTATAAGGGCTAGATTAGAATAAAGCAAGGCCAACCCAAAACAAAATCATTATGAACCAGAGGCTCTGCTGATCTCCTTTTATGAGATCATGCCCATTCTCAGAGACTGGAAGAAAGACTGTAAATGGAGTCTTTGGAGTTTTGATATTTATGAGAACAAGAAGCTAAACAGGCCTTAAACTGACCTGAAAGTCAGGAGATCTGGGTCTGCTCACAACTCTGCCACACTAATTGCCCAGATAACCCTGGGCACATCACTTACCCTCTGCAGGTTACAGTTTCTTCATCTAGAGATGAGGAATTAACTTAGATCAGTGGTTCTCGGGCATAGAGGATCTGGCAGCTTTTAAAAATGCTGGTGTTCCAGGATCCTGCCTCGGATGAACCAAAGGAGAGTTTCTGGGCATGGGACCTCCATATCAGTATTGTTTTAAAAGCTCCCCCAGATGTGTAGTGTGGCTTAAGAACCAATCATACAACCCGAATTCCTCATTTCTAAGTACTCAGAATAGTCCTTCCTAAACTTGAGTGTGTATGAGAATCAGCTAGATGGCTTGTTAAAGCATAGATTGCTGACTCCATCCCTAGAGTCTGATTCTGTAGGTCTGGGGTGGGGCCTACGAATCTGCATTTCCAACAAGTTTTCAGGTGATGGTCCAGAGACCACACTTTGGGTTAGAGGAACTCCAGATTCCTTTCATTTCCAAAAGTTCCTGAATCTGTGTTTGAACGAGTTGATCTTACGACGTGTGAATGTTAGAGCTAGACAGGTGGATGACACACCAACAGACTGAGGACCAGTTCAATCCACGCTACTTCAGTGTGTTCTCAGATAGTTTAAGAAGGCCAAAAATGACCTTTACGAGCCTCCTCTTTCCCAAAGTCAGGAAGGAGCAGTGTAGCATCTGCCTCCTGTCTCATCCAATGGAAGTTAAAGACATGGGTGAGTGCTAGGGCTGCAGGGCCCTTTATTTGAATTCTGGAAAGAGCAGTTGCTTTGTCTTCCATAGAGAATCTTCCATGATGTAACTTCCTCCTTCACAGCAAGGTTAGGAGTTTCCCAGCATGTCAAGAGCTGTGATTCTCCCAAGGAATCTAATATCCTTTAGATCACCTACGCACTCATGTTGGGACTCTTAGAAGATGAGCATTATAAAAGGGTAAGGAGCATTTTAGGTAGAAAAGAGCAGGAATAAGGTTTTTCTCAGTGAAGAAAATGTTATAAAAACTAGCAGGGGCTCGGCGCACTGGCTCATGCCTGTAATCCTAGCACTGTGGGAGGCCGAGGCAGGTGGATCTCTTGAGGTCAGGAGTTCAAAACCAGCCTGGCCAACATGGTGAAACCCTGTCTCTACTAAAAATACAAAAATCAGCCAGGTGTGGTGGTGGGCGCATGTAATACCAGCTACTTGGGAGGTTGAGGCAGGAGAACCTCTTGAGCCCAGGAGGCAGATGTTGCAGTAAGCCAAGATAGCGCCATTGCACTCTGGTCTGGGCAACAAGAGCAAAACCCTGTCTCAAAAAAAAAAAAAAAAAGCAGGATTCCAGAGACATTGAAATACAAAGAAACCATCCACAGTGTGCTAAGGACTCAAGGGTCCCAGATGTGTCAATTAAGAGACAGATGCCCTCAAAGAGGAACCTAAGGTTAATTTTTAGCAGGAAAAAAAAAAAAAAAAAAGCATTCAGCTTACAGCCATGGACATAGGTAGTAGTGCTGGCTATAGAAGTACAAATTTGGCTCTTGTTGTTATAATAGTTTATTCAGAGGTAAATTTTGACAAAGCCTAACTAATAACAAAAGAATTTCAAAAGAATTTCCCCCAATGAACTTTCAAGGAAGAATTGTATTTAATAGAGTCATTTCAGAAACTTCTCCTTCCTCATTTCTAATACTCAACTTAATGTAACAAACCTGCACGTTATGCACATGTACCCTAGAACTCAAAGTATAATAATAAAATAAAAAATAAAAAATAAAAAATCCCTTAAAAAAAAAAAGTAAAATGATTTTTATTCCACAATTTGAGACAAAGCCAACATTGTAAATACCACTGGGAGAAGGAAGCCAGCAGCTGGCCATGTTGGAAAGAGCCCTGAGTCTGATTCTAGGCTTATTAACCTCTGTCCAGTGCAGGCCACCTCTTCATTCTCATTAGCTGTGAAATCAGGGACTTGAACCAGTGGGCCTCAGTTTCTGTCCTTCTCAGCATATCTGTAACTGAGGTTTCAAGTAATATAAAGCGTGAATTACCAACAAGTACTTTCCATGGAATTATTTTAATATAATGAAGGATGTCTGGCAGGAGAAGATTCTAGAAGGAGGAGGAAGAACATCTCATCTGTCTTGTTTCTATACAGCTGAATGGCCAGGCCTTCTGTGCCTTGCAGAAATCTCAAGGATTTATTTCAAGTGTGTAGTTCTTCTTTGAGGCATCCTACACATTTTCCTTATTTTCCACTCTAAATGCCACGAGCTTCTCTGAAATAAATGCTATGGCACAAATGGAGAAACCTGACTCCAGCTGTAAAGAGATATGTGTTTTATGGGATAAGTATCTGATCACTTCTCTTTGAAAGTTCATCCTTGCTCTCCCTGATCTGGTGTTTATGTGGTCCCTGAGGAGACCACCTGTTCAGCATGCCGTACTGTCCTGTAATAGGTATATTCCATCAAGCACTGGTTCTAGCCCTGCAGCAGGAAGCATAAGGTGGAACAGACGACTTCCTACAACTCTAAATGGTTTTCTCTGATGGCCCAAGATGGAACGAGTGGTACTGATTTGAGGCCTCAATTGGTTTCACTAGATAAAAAAAAAAAAAAAAAAAAAAAAAGGGGGGGGAGGGTGGAACTATTAACAAGTTACAGGGATTTCTGCTGAGCAGATGAAAGACACATGTTAAAAAGTTTGTAGTCAGCTTGCTTGGGCTTTTAAATGACATTCACTGGAATTGAGACTTGGTGGCCTGCTGAGCTTGAGTGGGTGAAGCCTCCATGTGAACTACTGTTTGAAGGAGGCAGGGGCAAGCCTGTCCAAGAGAAGGTCACCTTGCTTCTATGCACTCTGAAGAAATGCTCTTGGCCGGGCGCGGTGGCTCAAGTCTGTAATCCCAGCACTTTGGGAGGCCGAGACGGGCAGATCACAAGGTCAGGAGATTGAGACCATCCTGGCTAACCGGGTGAAACCCCATCTCTAAAATAATACAAAAAACTAGCCAGGCGAGGTGGCGGGCAACTATAGTCACAGCTACTCGGGAGGCTGAGGCAGGAGAATGGCGTAAACCCAGGAGGCAGAGCTTGCAGTGAGCTGAGATCCGGCCACTGCACTCCGGATGACAGCCTGGGTGACAGAGCAAGACTCCGTCTCAAAAAAAAACAAAAAAACAAAAAATGCTCTTGTGCACATAAAGTACTCAATACAGATAACAGCTATTTTTCAAAGTCCCCATAGAAAGAGAAGACTATGGTATTCATTTTATAGAGAAGCAAACCAAGATACTGACAAGTCTTTCTCCTCCTATGATCTAACAGCTTGTTAACTGTTAAATAAGACTGGAATTTCCAGCCAAGAGCAAAATGAGCACAAAGAGGAAGCCCATCCTCCTTGTTCATTTTCAACACTTGGCTGACTAGAGATTCTCATCACAGAAAAGCTAGGGCAGGGTGGGAGGCCAGGCCAGGCCACACTGATATAGGAGGGTATGAGCTGCCGCTCAAAGCAAAGCATGCCTCTCTTCCCTGTGCCCTCCTCGCCTCTGTACCTGCCAGGTCCTAAGTGCTCTGAGCATCTTGACAGAAATTTTATTTAATGGGTGAGTGTGGTCTATAGGGTCAAACAAACCCAGTTCCAATCCAAGCTGTCTTACTGATTAAGGACAGAACCGTAGCAAGTTAGCATCTCCAAGCCTTTTACACTATTAAGGAATTGCTGATATCTACTTTGTAGAGATGTTTTGAGAAATAGATAAGATATAATAACATATATTACAAAGTGCTCATAACTGTATTGAGCACATAGGCATTAATTTTTTTAAAAATAATTTTTAGTAGAGATGGGGCCTCACTATGTTGCTCAGGCTGGTCTTAAACTCCTGGGCTCAAGCAATCCTCCTATCTCAGCCTCAAAGCATTGGGATTACAGGCGTGAGCCACTGCACCTAGCTCAGCACATAAGCATTAACTATTCTCTTCTATGAGAGAAGAGTGAAGGAAGGAGAAAGGAACTTCGGTTCTAATGTGAATGGCTCTGCAGTGTTGGACTCTGTCTGTGGAGCTAAGCATCTTGGCCTCTCCCCACCCTGATGAGCATTATGTCCCAACAGCTACATGTTTGTTGTAACATGCT